AATTAAAAGGAAAAATGCTTGGGAAACACTGTAACGCTTTTCGTTTCTTGCTTGAAGCAACATACACAGTTTTTGTGGTAAACGTTTCTAATTAATTTATTGAAAGGAAGCTCAACATCAATCTGAATACGGTGCTTTGGCTATTAAAAGGATGTTCACCATCAATTTGAAGTAACATGCTACCATCCCCATTCATATCAATTAAATTAAATTATTTTTTATCATAACATAAACTATTCATGGAACTTTAACTACTCATTTCACTTTTGGTAAATCCATTCAAGGTCAAGAACATATACTATTATATTAATTTTATAGGTTTGTGATGGGAATCCACCCAACGCAACCTTAAAAGAGGCAATGTTTTATTGTGGGAGCGTGATGCCAACCAAATCTTTTTCTTAGGTTTTTTTTTTTTTTTTGTGTGTGTGTAGATGGTCTGTTAGTCAATGATATTCGATTCGTTTGTTGTAAAGTCAACATTTAAGTTTGAACTATACAAGACTATTGAAAAATCTTGCCACACAAATTAAATGTTACCAAGTCACAAGACCAAAAACTTAAGCTACCGATCTAATTACTTACTAATAAATACCTGTTAAAATCATATTTTCAGGAAAATAATTAGTACTTGTTTTAGTTTTAGTGTTATGATTAGTGTGTTGGCCCACTCTATACCATAAGTTTGGCCATCTTTTTTTAAATGAAAGAAAATATCAAGGTAGTGGGGATATTTTAGTAGTGTTAATAAATTTAAGCAAATATTTTAATCTTAAAATCTTTTAATTTAATTTTTTATCTAACTTGAATTTTAAATTAAATTACGTGGAATTTATCCTAACATGGATATGTCAACTTTACGGGTACAGATACAACCAGTAAAACCATGGTTTATCTTAAAAAAAATTAAGATAATTTTGTTTAAAAACAAATATTGAGATGATGATATTTTAAATCTATCTCAGTCAACATGTGTTCCTAGTTAAGGACTTTACTGAGTTTAATATTTTTTTAAAAAAATTATTTTTATTTAGTTATGAAAAAATGATGCTCATAAAATCAAGCGCCGACACAATATCAAATGCTTATTTGATATCACAATAACTCTATAGAAAGCATATCAAAATAAATCATGAAACCTATTTCTAAATCAACTCAATATTAAATGATAAAATTAAAAATAAAATTAATTAAAAAATTAAATGAAGAAAAAAACTAAAAAAAAAGAAGCATATTTTATTTGATGGGTAAACCTACCACACCCGTGAATCGGGTCAACTGGATCAACCTAACAAACCCATGAACCAAGTCGCTTAGGTAAACTCGTCGAACCGTGAACCAAGTCATGGTATCCACTATACCAATAACTTGGTTTTTTTTTTTCAGAAATCATTATTTATTTAACTATATGATATCAAAAATTGATCATCACCAAACCAAGCACTAACCTAATACCATAATGTTTTTTAAAATATCTGATAACTCCATAGAAATAAAAATAAAATAAATTATAAAGCTTAATTTTCAATTAAACTAATATTGAAGAATGAAATAAAAAATAATAATTAAAAAAATAAAAAGTTTAACTCATCAAACTTATGAATCAAGTTAACCTACCAAACTTGCAAATCATGTCATGGACTCCACAAAGTTTAATAACTTGATTTAAAAAAATTATTTATTTATATGTTAAAAATAAATGATCACAAAATCAAGCATTAACTCAATGCCTAATTTTTTTTGAAACCACGAAACCCTATAGGAAGCAAAACAAAATGAAACAAATTATAAATATAATTCTCAATTAACTCATCGTTGAAGAATGAAATAAAAAATCTAGAAAAAATTGATAAAAAATTTCAGGATTTAATCCAATAGGTTTTAAAAAATATAGGACTATACTAAAAGAAAAGGATAAAAGAATCTTACACATGTGAAATACACCCCAAAACAAGAGAAAGGCTTGTATCATTTGGGCGGTGCATGAGCACTCCTCGGAGCTTTGATCATTTTTTTTATTTCATTGGAATTATCATTAGGTCCTCTTTCTTAAATGGTTGCATGTGTTGCAAGAGGAGATCTATTGAGACTCCTTCAACTATTCATTTCCTTTCACTCTTTTTTTTTTCCTCGCCTCAATTTCTATGATAGTTTATGCTATTATAATTCCCTTAAAGCTTCAATGTTTTCCTATTTTATATTTATTACTCTCAGTCTTTAGAAAAATAAAGAATCTGAATAATATCTCGCAAAATTAAGTACCAACCTTATATCAGGACAATTCTATAATGCCTTAGTGAGCACATAAGAAACATATCGAAATAAATTACCAACCAAAAATCATAATCAACACAACATCAAAGAATGAAATTAGAATAAAAAAATAGAGGGCCAAACTTGAAAGCACCTTAAAAAATAACTATAAAAGGGTTTCTCATTTATCTCGCTTTCAAGTTAGGTCCCATGATTTTAAATTTCATCTCAACAAAAAAATTGATTTTTTTTATTTATGAAATGGAGCACCAATCTAATGTCAAAAAATATTTTTGATATCATGATTACTATATAAAAAGTGAATTAAAATAAGTTATAAATTTTAAATCCCAAAAAAACACACAATCTAAGAACTTCTTTGAAAAACTAAAATAAATCAATTAAGCAAAAACATAAAATAATTAAAACAAATAAATTAATATAAAATTCAAATATTTATTATAAATTCAAATATTTATAAGTTCAAATATAATTAATCTAAAATAGAGGTACTGGAAAAGGAGGATAGGAGGTGAGTGTTTGCTAGACTGTGGGGTGAATAAAAAGGAGCACATGCACTACCCATCTGTAATCTTATCTCTAATAGCAATCGACGGAGTTGTCTGTTCTTGGTAAATAGATCCTGTTGTGAAGAGACCCCTTCTTAACATGATAATAGTGCACTCGATGAATTCGCTTCGTGAGTGGATGCATGTGTCTTTGTTGTCTGTTCTTGGTGGGCACCTAACAATTCATGGTTGTCAGAATCGTTGCTAGAAGAGCTAATAGCTATCCTGTTTGTACAATGTGCTAATGTCTTTTATCCTATGCATCTATACAAATTAAAAGGTTAAGGTACCATAAATGATTCTTATTAAAAAAAAAATAGTGGCACCTTCCTTATACAAGAGGCTACCTAAAATTTTTAAACCTATAAATTGGATAAAAGATCAAAACACATTGTCACAACTTCTTTAGATTCTTCATCTACTTTTCAATATTGAACAACATAAACTTAATTCATTCATATCATATTTATAATGATATTCCAATAAAAATTACTATTGTTATCTATAACTTCATATACATTGCTAGAATTAAAAGTTGACTAAACCATTCTTTCTATCATGATCTTGTGAGGAATATATGACTTTTCGTGTGCAAACCAACACATATATCTTTCCATTAACCTTTTTTTTAATAGAATATACATCGTTACAACATATAAATTGAATTTTAATTATTTATTTTTACACCTCTTACGTGGACATCTAATACCATCTTCATTAATATTTCTTGGATTATGTAATACATAATTAATAAAATCTTAAACTCCATTACAATAATCCATTTTACATAATCACTCGAGTGGATCTTGATACATTCATGAACGATCATCTATTACTTATGTTAAACCTATATGAAATATTGATGATATCTATTACTCATTTCAAACCAATATAGAATATTGATGACATCATATATTAATTAATTATATAAATTAAACAAATAATAGAACATTGGTTTTACTCAAACTTATTCAAATTATTTTAATAGTACAACTAATTAATTATCAATTATCTATATAAATTTAAATTTCTTTATATTTACCAAAAAAATTAACTCAGCAATAAAATTGATAAAATATAAAATGCACTAGTTAAATAAGCCATTATTTATTTCATCACAAAACACCTAAGTCACAAATTCAAATTAAATTTCATCAATTTACAAAAAAATATAATTTTACAAAATCTCATATAAACCTTAATATTTACAAATTATACTTTCACACAAAAAATCTTTATAGGTAATATGTTATATTTAATAATGGAAGTACTGATAGAATAAAACAGGTAAAGTTTTTTTTTTTTTTTTGCATGTTTTAGTTATCAATAAATTCATATGTAAAATTATTATTGATAGACCATAAATCACCAATAAGAGTTTTTCAAATAGATTATTTTTGTTCGTGATAATGTCAACAAGTTTCTTTCTGATAGACTGTAAATATAAATATTAACAAAAATATTCATAAGTAAATCTAAAAACTCATGAAGTTTACAATATAGTAAGAGAAAGAACTTGATGTAACTTCTTAACTAGCATACGAAATTGTAATATATTTTAGATAGGAAAAAAAAATCATATGATAAATCTTTAGCTGTTTATCCTTCAGTGACCACCAATAAAAATATTGGTTTTAGGAACGGATTGAATGCAACTGATGAAGGAATTGAAAAATAAAATAAAATAAAATAAACTTTGCAGCTTTAATTATCTAGTAAATTATGCAAGGGCTGTTTTGTTTCTGCTCAAATTTTAAATTCTCAAATTGAAGAACATAGAGGAACCGCAGCTGGTTTTGCACAATAGCATATAACCAGGCTGGTTTGAGCTGGTGGTTTTATTTGTGTTTACAAGGGGCGTTTTCTAAGCACCTTCACCACGGCCACCCCCCACAACTTGGGTCCTGGCATATGAGTATTTACACGTGGCAAGAACCCACCATGGTCATCCACGTCCTAAACTGTTAGCTGGCAAGGTGTTCACGGAGACGGCTAGGGGACTAACCCAAATGTGGGTCCCGCTTCAGGATTTCGGGTCTGGGCCAGCATTATGGGTTCCACCCCTCAGAGGGTCCCACGGTTTGGAGCTCGGGAAGGAGAGAGGATGCACATTGTGGCCCTCTCGTCCGTCTTGTTGCAGCTATAAATCGACCATTGGGCTGTCTCTCTTGCAAGCATACATTACCTCTCTCTCTACAAAACTTTGGGAACTGTTTGCTTTCTTCTCTGTTTTACATTCTCTCTCTCAGTCTCTCTTGTTTGTTCTCTGTATTTCATCTTGAAGCTTAAAGAGTTATAAAACAGAGCACTCTGTTTTAATTCCTCCTTCTCTTCTTCACTAAGTTTTGTTGTACCTTCGAATATCAGTATCTTCTCGTAAGGTATTTAATTCAAGGACCTTATGTAGGTGTAGTTTTCTCTAATGGGTTTTTCTAGATTCTTTATTTGATAATCTTAATTGTCTTCAAATTCTTGTTTGCAATAATTTGGAAGGAAATGTAATTCTGGGTTTTTTCTTTTTCTTTTTCTTTTTTTTTTTTGTAGAGGAAAGATGACAAACCAAAATGTGGTAGTGGCTGATACAAGCTCTGGAATCAACTTGGCAATCACAGTGCATGTAACAAACTCCTCTATCTTCACCACGGCCAAGCAGAAGCCTCCGGCGGCTCCTGGTGGTTACATCACTATTTCCAGAAACAAACTTTTAAAGAATCTTGAAATCAGTGGAGGAGCAAGATTTAATGCTTGGGTTAATTCCATGAGAACCTCATCTCCTACTCATGTCAACTCCACACCTTCTGTTAATGACGACCAAAGCTCATGGATTGTGAGTACACACACAAAGAACCCAAAAACAAAAATAGAAAAACCAATCTTTAACTAATATAAACCTCAGGGAAGGACTTTTAGACATGATCAAATGATGACTCCTGATTTTTAATGTGGTGATTGCAGCTTCACCACCCATCAGCACTGGAGATGTTTGGGCAGATAATTGATGCCTCCAAAGGAAAGCAAATAGTTATGTTTTTGGACTATGATGGCACACTTTCTCCTATCGTTGATGACCCAGATAGAGCTTTCATGTCCAAGCAGGTTGGTATCTAGTTCTTCGCTGTACAGCTCCTCTTCCCTTTTTTCTTTTTTCTTTTTATATTGTAACTGAAGTTTGTGTTGGGGAAAAATTAGATGAGAGCAACAGTGAGAAAGCTTGCGAGATTTTTCCCTACTGCAATAGTGAGTGGGAGATGCAGAGACAAGGTACATTTTAAGCCTGTTTTTTTTTTTCCCCCTCTTTCGAATTCAATAATGTTAGGCCAGTAAGTACAGATTACTTTGGCTCTTTTTTTTTTTTTTCTCGTGCTAAACTTCGTTGCTTCTGTCCATATTTTATAGGTGTATAACTTTGTACGGTTAGCCGAACTGTACTATGCTGGAAGCCATGGCATGGACATCAAAGGGCCAGCCAAAGGCAGCAAATACAAGAAAGTGAGTGAGCGTTACCCCTGTCTTTTCAAGTACCATCATGTAAATATAGCTTGATTAATTTTCTCTAATCTTCTCCTTTCACAAAATGATAGAAATTGGTTTGTCTTTTATGTTGTACTCTTCAGGGCAGTGAAGGTGTTGTTTTTCAAGCTGGCAGTGAGTTTCTTCCGATGATTGATGAGGTAATGTAATTACTTGGGTAAGATGTACAAGTTATTACTATAAAGAAAATAAATAAAAGATTGGAGGATAATTACATTTCTTACTTTATTTTTTTGATAATGGGTTTTCAGGTTTACAAAGAACTGGTAGAGAGAACTAAAACAACACCAGGGGCCAAGGTGGAAAATAACAAATTCTGTCTCTCTGTGCACTATCGCTGCGTTGATGAGAAGGTAGGAATCGAGCATCAAGAAAATATCATTATGTTGTCACTGTTATATTAAAACTAATTTTTACTAACTGTGATGCATGAAAAATACAGAAATGGAGTGGACTGGCTCAAGTAGTTAAGTCAGTGTTGAAGGAGTACCCAAAGCTTCGACTCACTCAAGGAAGAAAGGTGTGGCATGGCATCTAATAAATCAAAAATCTTATATTTTATTTATTAGTTTTATAATGTATGTGGTGGGTATATAATTAAAGAGATGCCTCACTTTCCATACCACCTTCTTCTGCACAGGTTTTAGAAATCCGCCCTACCATTAAATGGGACAAAGGAAAGGCTCTTGAATTTTTGTTAGAGTCTCTTGGTAAGGTCTTGTTTTCCCTTTTCTTTCCTGTGCTTATCGATAATAATCACCTACTCAAAAAATTGTGAAGCTTCTATCTGAAGAACCCAAAAGACACACTAGAAATCGCGGTGTTTAAAAAGAAGTGATCACCCCCACTAGATTTGTATATAGATACACTTCAAATTGTAAGAGCCAGACAAATTATAGTGTTGAATAATTTAATTATTGCCTAATCTCTAATAATCATTAATCTCTCTTACAGGATTCGCCAATTGTACTGATGTTTTTCCTGTTTACATTGGAGATGATAGAACAGACGAGGATGCATTTAAGGTATCCAATGCTTCAAATAAAGACAAAGTCCTCTTTCTTTATCAAACTTACATTAAATCTAGGTCTTTTAAGGTTAATGATTTTATTTTTTTAACTGTTGTTAGGTGCTGAGAGAGAGAGGACAAGGTTTTGGTATCTTGGTCTCTAAATTCCCCAAGGACACTAGTGCATCTTATTCCCTACAAGAACCCACCCAGGCAAGTAGTATCCAATACATGCATAATTGTTTGTAATTTATCTATTTCACTTTCTGTATGCTTTTCTATTTTGAGTGATACATTGCTAGCCAGTCATATAGCTAATGAGTTTTGGATATTCCCACAGGTCATGGATTTTTTGCAACGTTTGGTGCAGTGGAAACGGCGAGCCTTTCAAGAGCAGTCAAGGGTTTAAGATGGAGTAGGAAAATCGAAACAGTATATATATATATATACCCACCCCTTCAAGAAATGTAATTAAGGGTGGGATCGATGTTAGACTACGTAATTTCTTGTTCAGGTTAAAAAAATATGAACAAGAAAATACGAAGGGAAAAAACATGACTCTTTCCTTGAGATGAGAGGCCTTGTAGTAACTAGCCAGCTGGGTACAAGGGGAAATTAAGATCTGTAACTTGCAAGTAATTAATCTAAATGCATAGATATTTTGATCTCTCTTTCTACAAAAAATTGAGTGTTTATATGTGAAACTGCAATCTCCATAACCAAACCTAATAATTAATCAATATTAACTGTAACTCCTCACATGGTTTGCTTAAACAATAATTCTGTTTTTGTAATTTTTTTTTTTAAGATTCATAAGAAACTTCTTTGGGCAAAGGATATTTGTAAAAATGATCCATCTGAATGATCGAAATTCACCGATCATATTTTACATTATTGGTGAATACTCTATTATTATGTGTGCTCGAGTCCATTCCCAAGCATTCAAATATCATGTCAAAGGAAATGTATATAGGAACCAAACTCATGTCAACCAGCAGCTCGAAATTACTTAATTTTCTTTAGTTTTTATGATGAAATATCCTAAATGGCTAATTGGTCAAGAATTATCATGAACTTAACTTTTAGTTAATAGAAATGAATCCCTAACCTTTTTCTAATATGATTTAGATCTTTAGCCTTTCTATCATCTGCAATATCATCCGATAAGTTTAATTAGGTTTTTAGGTTTTTATTTTTTATGTTTAATCCATATGTTGTGTTATATAAAGGGTGTATGTCCAGTCAAACTTCATTTATTGGATGGTAAAATGAACAGGGATGACATTGATAAAAGAAAGAAAGAAAATGAGTTGTTACATGTGAAAAACCAATTTGGATATTCTCTTACTATATAGGAGTCTGTAACAATTAATGAACCAATTTGGATATACTCTTACTATATAGGAGTCTATTTGCAATAAAGAACTTTGGGGAAAACGCATTTTGTTTTACTGCTTAGCTATGGATGAGAGGGATAATAGTGAACAAGGAGAGACGCGTTCTAAGTGTCCCTTAATTCTAGAAAATCATTTATTTGTCATTGTAAATTCCACACTTTTCATGCAGAATATTATCCGTTATATATATTGTTTGGATATTAGATTCTTCCTCTTATAATAGAATAAAAGAGTTTTAATGAAATGATGAGTATTGAAAGTAATCTAAATGATGAGTTTCAAAGATATAATAAAATATTGCGTTTATAGTAAATTGGCACAGTAGTTTAATTTGAATTAAAGTCTGCTATTATCTTCTTCTCTTTCCTTAGCTTGTAACAATTGCTCCCCTATAAAACCAACCTTGTCCTCAAGGTTGAAAGTTGAAAATCTTAGCTTCAACTCATCATTGAACTCCAAAGTCGCATTCGCAGGTAACAACCCTCCTAATGAATGAGAATTTGTATGGTCGCCTGGTTGTTGCGCCGAGTCATTCATTTATCCAATATAGCCCTGGGTTGCAAGGAGGGGCCTTGATATGAAATTGGAAAAGATTGCTGCACAACTCAATTACCCACATACTTCTTAAGTTGGAGACGTAGAACACTGGGTGAATCATGGAAGACGATGGTAGATCGAGTTTATAATCCATAACACCCACTTTTGCAACCACCTGGTAAGGACCATAATATTTAGCTGCTATTTTTTGTGATGATTTGAATGATGTTGATTGTTACCTGTATGGTTGAAGTTTGAGATAAACACAGTCTTGAACCTCAAAACTTCGATTGCTTCTTTTCTTGTTTGCAATCATAGTCATTCTGTTTTATAGGAGTTGAGGGTATGCCCTAACTCATTTGATTTCCTCTTCTTCAGAGCTTAAATACTCATCCACCAATGCCACTAATGAATCCTTAGGAAAGTAGAGAATATGCATGGGAGGAGAAAAACCGTATAACACTTTGTAGGGTGTCATTTTAATGGCAAAATGGTAGTTGATACTGTACCACCATTCTATTAAAGGCAACCACTTTGCGCACTGATTTAGACAATCTCTAGCCATACACCTCAAATAGTATTTGATGCATTTGTTAACCACTTTAGTATGACCGTCTGTTTATAGGTGATAAGATGAAGAATAATGTAGGTTTACTCATTGGGCGCTGAACAACTCTTTTCAGAACCTACTAAGAAACACCAGGTCTCTATCATTGGTAATTGAAGTCGGTATCCCATGGAGTTTTAAATGTTATGCATAAATGCTCTAGTAATTGTAGGTGCAAAATAGGGATGACTGAGTGCCACACAATGAGCATACTTATTGAAACGATCCACTATGACCATGATTACATCCTTCCTCTTTGATTTAGGTAAACCTTTCATGAAATCCATATAATATCAATAAATGGGGTAGTAGGGATAGGCAGTGGTTGTAGAAGTCTAGGACTCGCACATTTTCATGCTTGTTTCTCTAATAATCATTACATTTACTCACATGTTTCCTAATGTATTTTTATTACCCTTTTTAGTAGAATAAGTTTCATACAATCTTAGGTGTAACTGTCATTCCTGAATAGCCCCCTAAAGCTAAGTTGTGAAATCTGACTGTGCAATGTAGTGTTATTACCTACAACCACCTTCCCTTTTCCTGTTTAAATGGTCATAAACCTAAATGTAATGTGGGTGAGAATTTGCAAACCTTTATAGGTCCTTGATAATATTTTAGACCATTGGATCATTATCATAAAAACTTCTAATCTCTTCCATCAAGCTGGTAAAGATGGTAAAAGTAATCAGGGCATATAGTTCCTAGCATGGGATTTTAGATAGTGCATCCGTAAGAACATTCTTTTTTCCCTGTTTGTATTCAATGTCATAATTGTATCTCAGAAGCTTGACCACTCATAGATGTTAAGTTGGAGTTGTCATTTTTTGGTGTAGAAGATATTTGAGGCTGATATGATCTGTACAGATATGAAAATGTCTACCCTACAAATAATGCTTTTATTTAGTAACCGCATGTAATATAACCAACATCTCCCTCTCATAAACTGACAAAGTTTGTTGTTTTGGCCTTAAAGATTTGCTTATAAAAGCAATTAGATGTCCTTCTTATAGCAAAATTGCGCTTATACCTATTAAAGAAGTGTTTGTTTCTATAAGAAATACCTTATTGAAATCGAGAAGAGCCAGGACAAGAGCACTACTCATCAATACCTTTAATTGATTGAATGCTTTTAAAGCTTCCTTATTCCGCCCCTTAGTATACCTCTTGAGTAGTTAATGGCTTACTGATGCTTCTATTCTATAGCCTTCAACACATTTGTGGTAATAACTAATCAATTCCAAAAATCCCCTCAATTATTTCAAGCTTTGTGGTAATGGCCAATCAATAATTGCTTGTATCTCAAAAGGGTCAGTTGTAACACCACGTTCAATAATGATGCGTCCCATGTATTTAACCTATTTATAGCAGAAAAAACATTTGTTAGCTCTTGCTACCTACTAATGTTCTTTTAATAGCTCTATAGCCACCTCTAGGTGCTCATAATGGTCAATCAAGATCTGACTATACACTAGGATGTTACCAAAGAACATCAAAATGAATTTTTGTAAATATTTCCTAAAAACTTCATTCATGAGGCTTTGAAAAGTGGATGGAGCATTGGTTAACCCGAAGGGCATAACCAAAAATTCATAATAACCAATGTGAGTCTGAAACACAGTCTTGAACTCTTTTCCTGCTGCCATATGTATTTGATGGTAACCAAATTTGAGGTCGATCTTGGAGAAGATAATAGCTCCAACCAGTTCCTCTAGCAGTTCCTTAATCATTGGGATAAGATATTTGTGCTTGATAGTGAGCTTGTTCAAAGCTCGATAGTCCACACATAACCTCCATGTTGAATCTTTTTTCTTCACCAAAATGACTGGGGACATAAAAAAAAGGACTATTATTAGTCCTAATGGTTCTAGCATCCAATATTTTTGTCACCATCCTCTCTAAACTATGTTTCTATAACCCCAAATATCTATAGGGTCTAAGATGTACTACTTCGTTTCCCTTCTTGAGTGGAATCCTATAGTCATTATCTCTTAATAGTGGCAATCTTTTAGGTTCCTAAAATATATCCTAATAGGATTCTAAGAGACTCTGCAGAAAGGCATCTGCAATGCTTTAAAATCGAGGTCTGAAAACCTTGTAATCTTCCTCTACCTCTACTAACTAAAAGTTATATACTAGATAGTTCCCCACTAGTTGGTGATTCTTGACCAAGGCATTTCATTGTTTTAGTTCAATACTTTGAAACTTGGGTGGATTTTCTTCTTTCAATAAGACCCTTCATCCTTGCTAATCAAAAGACATCCATAGATGTTTGTAATTGAAAAGTAAATCCCCCAATAAAGAAAGCCATTGGATTCCTAATACCATATCATAATTATTGAGGTCAATGATAAAAATATCAGCATGAAAACTTATTCCATGCATCTTCTATCTAAGACCCCTGCACATGAATTTACATACCATCTTATCTCCATTAGCCACCTAGATGGTCATTAGTTTAATAGGAGTTAATTGGTACTGCAATTTACTGACTACTGTTGTGTTTAAAAGATTATGGGTGTTTCCAGAATCAATAAGAATGCACATAGTAGTTTTATCTATCTTTCCAGTGATTTTCATCGTGTTTAGACCCACTATGCCCTCCAAGGCATCCAAAGAAATATGAGGTGTGGCCTCTCTGCTAATGACTTCTTCTTCTGTAGTATCCTCCTCTTGGATTACCTCTTTCTCCTCCACTACACTAAGAGAATACACCTTTTTGTTGTGACACATATCCCTTAGCACAAACTTTTCATCACACCAAAAACACAACCACTTCAACCTTTGATCGTTAAACTCTTGGTTTTTGATAAAGTTTGTAGGTTTGTTAAGATTTGGATAACTACTGTTAGTAGGGTTATTTTTTCATTGAGCTGAATGTGGTTTCAGTAGGCTTGCATGAGAGCTTGTAAGGTTCTTTGTTGTATTTAATGGAAAAGTAAGAGGGGTGTTAGCATAAGGATTAATGCACTGGCTAGCAGATCTTTAAACATAACTGGGAGATTTTTTGTAGGTAAGGGTGTTAGTTTGTAATCTAGCTAAATTGTAAACATGTTTAAGGGTTATGGGTTCAAATATTTTTATAGTGTTTTTAATTTCAAGTTCCATGCCCTTTAAGAATATCATTAGG